TACAGTTTATCAAAAAAACTCTTCAGAAAAATTCCTTATTGGTTACTACAAGACTAATGTTCAAGTGTGGTACAATACATATCTAATAATCTGTACAATAATGGGAGAAAAATTCTGTGGGTGGTACTATTTCCTAGCAATCATAACTGCAATACAGTCGGAGAACTCTATGTAAAGGTAGCTCAACATCTATTGGAAAAGTGATAGGTAAATTTTATCAGTCATCTGGTAGGGTCCTAATACATCAAGGAAATTTTATATCAACTATATTGGAAGCTTTAAAATTCAGCAATGGTTCATGTTCAACAATTTTTAGATCATTTGCACATTAAGGCATCTTTATGGAGAATATTAACTCTAAGAAAATATTTCTACAGTAAGTTTTATATACAACTGACTATGCTTCATTTGATATTGTTGTATCACTGTTCTCCTCCCAGAAGCCTAGAAAACTTTATAGCTAGTGTGTCAATAATACAACAAACCAATACTCCAATAAAATGAATTGATAGCAGATGCTTACCCTCTCATTTTCAGTGAGCCTAAGTCTATAGCCAATTTGGCCCTTTGTAGTAAAAAAAAAAAAAAAAAAAAAAAAAAAGAAAGTCCAGGATATCCATGAACCTTCAGAGAAGCTCTACATGGTTAAGTCACCACATCATAAAAATTCAAGTGGAAAATTGAGTGAAGACTCTACCAGACTTTACATTCTGTGTTGTAATAGCTAACATTATTTCAGGGTTATCAGCGGGCCAGCTCAGATATTAAGATTGAACACTGGATTAATTTCAGATGTTTGAAACTATTCTGTTTTTACAGCAATTCAGGATTTTTTAAAAAATTTTTTATTTAACTTTTATTAATTACACTTTATTCATTTTGTATCCCCCCATAAGCCCCTCCCTCCTCCCCTCCTGATCCCACCCTCCCCCCCCCTTTCTGCATGCATGCCCCTCCCCAAGTCCACTGATAGGGGAGGTCCTCCTCTCCTTTCTGATCTTAGTCTATCAGTTCTCATCAGAAGTGGCTGCATTGTCATCTTCTGTGGCCTGGTAAGGCTGCTCCCCCTTCAGGGGGAGGTGATCAAAGAGCAGGCCAATCAGATTATGTCAGAGGCAGTCCCTCTTCCCATTTTTATGTAACCCACTTGGACACTGAACTGCCATGGGCTACATCTGTGCAGGGGTTCTAGGTTATCTCCATGAATAGTCCTTGGTTGGAGTATGAGTCTCTGGGAAGTTCCCTGTGTTCAAATTTTCTTGTTCTGATGCTCTCCTTGTGGAGTTCCTATCCTCTCCAGCTCTTGCTATTACCCATTTCTTACCTAAAATTCCATTCACTCTGTCCAACAGTTGGCTATCAGGCTCAGCATCTGCTTTGATAGTCTGCAGGGCAGAGGCTTTCAGAGGCCCTCTGTGGCAGGGTCCTAAGTTGTTTCCTGTTTTCTTCTTCTGGCTTTCAGAGGCCCTCTGTAGCAGGTTCCTAGGTTGTTTCCTGTTTTCTTCTTCTTCTGATGTCCATCCTCTTTGCCTTTCAGGATGTGGATTGAGCATTTTAGTTAGGGTACTCTCTTTTGCTTAGTTTGTTTAGATGTACAGATTTTAGTGGGTTTATCCTATGTTCTATGTTTATATGAGTGAGTATATACCATGCGTGTCTTTTTGCTTCTGGGACAACTCACTCAGGATGATCCTTTCCAGGTCCCACCATTTACCTGCAAATTTCATGATTTCCTTATTTTTCATTGCTGAGTAATACTCCATTGTATAGATGTACCACAATTTCTGCATCCATTCTTCAGTTGAGGGGCATCTGGGTTGTTTCCAGCTTCTGGCTATTACGAATAAAGCTGCTACAAACATGGTTGAGCAAATGTTCTTTTTGTGTACTTGAGTCTCTTTTGGATATATGCCTAGGAGTGGTATGGCTGGATCTTGAGAAAGTGCTATTCCTAGTTGTTTACCCATTATTTAGGAAGAAACGTTTATTTTATGTTATTTTTGTACCTAGTCATACAGAATAGTTTTTTTTTTAAGATGCAGAGAAATAATGTTGTGTTTTTCTTTTTAAGACTGCTTTCTGCATATAAATCATATAAGCAGAATTGGTACATATAATGCACGCAAAACTAAATTTTGTTTACAGTAGAATGTAATTATTCACTTTCTTTCTAATTGCTATTTATTATTTGAGCTTTCACAGAAGTGTGCACTATGGCATGTGTTTCTCCACCACCAGCTGATGACTGAACCAGGCCTTGCACTTGGTAGGCCAGCACCCTCCCCCTGATCTACACCTCCAACCTCAGTGTGTATTATGTTCGTTAAGAGCTATTACTAATCAGGCCTGGGGAGAGTGGGAGCAGGGGGACAGAAGACCTGTAGAGAAGAGAGAAACTGAGGGTGGGGGCATCTGTACGACAAGCTGGAGATGTAGGTCAGAGTAGGCTCCTGGAAATATATGAGAGGGGCTCAAGCATATACTTCTAGTAGCAGAGGCCATGGAGACAGATAAATGATACCCTCTTAGTAGAGGGAGGGGAACTCGAACTCACCCACAAAAACAACCCAAATTTTACCCTCCCTAAAAGATGTGAAGGAATAAAGATAGAAAAGAGATTGAAGGAATGTCCAGCCAATGCCAGAGAGAGTGCCAACCCAGCACTGTGAATGATAACTCCGCTAAGCCTTCAGACAGGAACCTATCAGAGTTGTCCTCTGTGAGGCCCTACCCAACAGTGCACCAAAACAGATTGCTGAGACTCGCAGCCAAACATAGGCATTGCCCAGGGAGTCTTATACAGAAATGGAAGATAAAGAAAAGCACCTATAGATGACAGGAGCTCCACAAGAAGACCAACAGAGCCAACTAGTCAGGGCCCATAGGGGCTTGCTGAAGCTGAAGCATCAACCTAGGACCATGCAGAAACTGGACCAAAGATTTAGTAGATGGGCAGCTTGGGCTTCACTGGGTCCTCAAGTAAGGAATGCAGGGACTGCATCTGACAATGACTTCCCTGCCATCCTTTGGATTACCTCCCCCTGGCAGAACTGCCTTTCCAGGCCACAAGGGAAAAGGACATGCTCAGTCATGATGCAACTTTATGAGCTGTGATGGACCAGAAGGGGCAGAGGGCTCCACTTTTCTAAGGAATGGGGGCATGGGGATGGAGAGACAGGGAGGGTGGGGTTGGGACGGTGGGACTGGGAGGCGAGGTGGGATGGGACTAAAAACAGAATATAAAATAATGTTTATAATAAAAGAAAAATATCATATGTATAGAAAAAAGCTATTACTATTTTAAAAGATCTTATTGAAGAGTTTTAAAATTCTTTTTAAACTTAACAATTAATTGGTAATTAATCAACAATACTTAACATTAGTACTAATACATTTTAAAATAATTAAGAACAGGGAATATAATTCAACAAGGCAACTGAGCTTCAGAATATACTTTTCTAACGGTATCAAGTTAAAGGAGGATGGATGATGAGTGTGTTTAGAAGAGGCTTGGGAAAAAGATCAACCACAGCAGGGAAAAGAATAAGAGACACTCTCAAAGTTTCTGGTTAGAGGTAATATTTAGGTCTTAGTGCTATCTGTGCAAACGAGGCCTCATTTCCAGGTTGCAGGTGGGTAGAAAAAGGAAAGAAGATGCAAGCCAGTGTATCTGACTTTAGATAAGACAGCTTCATTCTTGAAAAATATTTCAGTGGTGTATTTAGGGTTCTTTGTAGCCTTTTGTAGACAAGTTGTACAGAAGTATATTGTGAAGTGCATACTTATAATGTGTTTGGAATGTATTGATCATTCAGTTCAGTCAAGTTGTCTGTTAAGGCACTACATAAGAAGACCTTTCTGGGAGCTGGAGAGAGATGGCTCAGAGATTACGAGCACTGGCTGTTCTTCCAAAGGTCCTGAGTTCAGTTCCCAGCAACCACCTGGTGGCTCATAACCATCTAAAATGAGGTCTGGTGCTCTCTTCTGGCATGCAGGTTCACATGCAGGCAGAATACTGTATAAATAATAAATAAAATAAATCTTAAAAAGAAGAGCTATTTGGTGTGGTCTCTGCTTTGAACACAACTTGCTCACGTACAACTTTGACTATATAAAACACATGACCATATTACAGAATATGTTGTCTGCATATTCATATGACTAGTGCGTAAGTTACTTGTGTTCATATGTGGGATCCTCTACAATTTGTATTAACTTCAGAGTTCTGACAAATACTTTGAAGTGTTATCATAATTAAAGAGGATAGTAAGTACCTACTCCTTAAATAAAGTCTCCCTCACCTTGTTAAGGTGCTTTTTACACTTTGTGTATTTTTTCTATGTAAGGCTGTGTGATCACATCTCAGTCCACACAGATCTCCATGTGATGATGTCGTAGCTGTGATATAAATGGGAAGGTTAACTACATTGGTATTCCTGTTTTGTTTTTGTTTTTCAAGACAGGGTTACTCTGCATAGGCTTGGTTGTCCTCGAACTTGTTCTGTAGACCATGCTGGGCTCAAACTCAGGAGCTCCACCTACCTCTGCCTTTTGAGTGCTGGGCTTAAGGGCATGAGCCACCACCTGGCAACATTGATATTTTTAATTATGTTGGCTTTGCAAAACTTCTTGATCCCTGAGTATCTCATAATTTTTCTTTAGAGATGAATGATTTTGCCAGTGGTTAAATCTTTATGGTTCTCTTTGGTATCTATCAGTTAAATACCAAATAGATGGTTGGATAAAGTTGGGTTCAGAGACTCCAAGTTTATAACATTTGGATTATATGTTTGACTTTGATATTCTATATCGTTTCAAGTTTTTTAACAAATGTTTGATAAATGAGCCTTCACTTTACATGTGAAGTAATATGCTATGCAAGGACTAATAGTTCTATTAACTACAGCCATGTCTCTTTCCAGTACTGTATTAATCATCTTTTAAAACTGTTCTCTTGTTGTTGAAGCTGATAGAATTAATTATGCTGTTCTCACACACAGTTGGAGAATTTGATGCTGGATAAGGATGGCCATATAAAAATTACAGATTTTGGACTTTGCAAAGAAGGGATCACAGATGCAGCTACCATGAAGACATTCTGTGGCACACCAGAGTATCTTGCACCAGAGGTAGGCAGAAGTTCCGTTTACATGAAAAATAACACTAATGTTTCTCAAAACATTTAAATATTTTTGCCAAGTTGCAGTATTCACTATTTTGTAACAAGATTTCTATCAGAATAATTGATTTTGCTTTTAACTCATTTAATGGAATATTTTTATGGCTACAAGCATATGAAAATTAAATTTTAAAGTTTGTAAGCACATATCTTTTTAATAAAGTAGATTAAATTTTATTTTTCTTGCCTATATATTTTATTTATTGGTTATATTCGTTTTACTTCATTGATTAAAAGAGGATAATTGAATAACTTCTGCAAGCATATTTATTGTTTTATAAACTATCTTGGATTTTACCTAGAAGCAGAGATTATAGTGATTATTGGTATTTGTGTTCAACTACCGGAAATTGTTTTGTGGTGGAAACTGAAAAAATGACTTGCTTACATTTTGTAGTTCACAAAGAAAGATGAAGTGGAGGTTTTGTACCAGTTTATGAAAAAGATAGAAAGTGACTGTACTTTTGAAGAAATTCTATTGGACAGAGACTAATATATGTATACAACATAATATAATAAAAACTATATATAACATAAGGCTTTCAGTTCCTAGGGAAGAAAGGAAGATAAAGGAATGATGTAGTTTGATGTAGTAGGTTTCCTAAGTGTGCCAGTTAGTGCTGCTGTGGAATAGCCTACACGGGTCTTGAGTGATGAACAGTCCTTTATCAAGAATGCAGGTGGGGCCACACAAGTGACTTCTCTCTCTTCTGCTCACCTGTGGCCTGAGCCGAAAGACCTAGCAACAGAAAAGCTGCTTAGAGACTGAAATTATCTAGAAGCAGCTTCACTTTTTTGTTTGACAGCTGCTGCCAGGTGTCCAATGACATGTTATTAAGGTTGTTGACACTTAGAGCCTCCCTGTGGCGTAGGCTTCTTCATGATGGCCAGGGTTCTTTGGCTTAGAGATCTAACAGCAAATGTCCTAAGAACAAGTTAGAAGCAACCTTGGTTTTAACCATCCTTCCCTCTTTCTTCTTTGTTTTTAATCTAGTTAACTGTGAAAAGTTTCATTTAAAAATGCTTTTTATATTGTTTTTATTTTGATACAGTTCACATGCCATATAAATTTAAAGGCAACATTTTACTTTTAAAAATATTTAAAGTTGTGCAACTATCACAATTTATTTTTTATATTAATTATAGTTTATTCGCTTTGTATCCCAGCTGTAGTCCCCTCCCTCTTCCCCTTCCAGTCCCCCCTCCCCCCCTTATCTCCTATGCCTCTCTCCAAGTCTACCAATAGGGGTGGTCCTCCCCCCTTCCCTCTGACCCTAGCTTATCTGGTCTCATCAGAACTGGCTTTATTGTCCTCCTCTGTGGCCTGGCAAGGCTGCTCCCCTTTTAAGGGGAGGCGATCAAAGAGCTAGCCACTGAGTTCATGTCAGAGACAGTCCCTGCTCCCCTTACTAGGGAACCCACTTGGATACTGAGCTGCCATGGGCTATATCTGAGCAGGGGTTCTAGGTTATTTCCATGAATGGTCCTTGATTGGAATATCAGTCTCAGAAAAGACCCCTGTACCTAGATATTTTGGTTCTGTTGCTCTCCTTGTGGAGCTCCGTCCTCTCCAGGTCTTACTATCTCCCTCTTCTTACCTAAGATTCCCTGCACTCTACCCAAAGTTTGTTTATGAGTCTCAGTATCTGCTTTGACACAATGTTAGATAGTGGCCCTCTGTGGTAGGCTCCTGTCCTGTTTTGCTAAAGTACACAACAAGGACATTTGTTTAACCATGTTTGTAGTGGCTTTATTTGTAATAAATAAATAGCCAAAACCTGGAAACAACCCAGATGTCATCAGGGGAGGAATGGATACAGAAATTGTGGTACTTTTACACAATGGAAATACTACTCAGCAATTAAAAAGAAGGAAATCGTGAAATTTGCAGGCAAACAGTGGGAACTAGAAAAAATCATCCTGATTGAGATATTCCATAAACAGAAAGACACACATGCTATATACTCACTTATAAGTGGATATTAGATATATAACATAGAATAAACCTACAAAAATCTGTACACCTAAAGAAGGTGAGCTAGAAGGAGGACCCTGTGTAAAATGATCAATCAGAAAGGCAAACGGGATGGACATTGGAAGAAGGAGCAACTATCACTTCTAATTCCAAAATGTTTTAATCATTCCAGTTATGATGTCACTTTTATTAGCATCTCATTTTTTTCTCTCTAGGATATCACATATCTACTATCTCTTTGTAGTTTTTCTGAACATTTCATGCAAATACAATTATATGATGTAGAACCTTGCATGTTGAGCTCTCTGCCTGGGCAGATTGTCTTTTAAGTTTCTTCTGTGTGTTAAGCAGTTTGTCTTTTATGAATAATGCTGCTGAGATCATTCATGTGTCATCTCATTTCCTGGCCTTTTTTTTCCCCATAAGATCCACATCACTTTGGTCATGTGCATATTCCTTAAAGCAGTTGTAGACCTTCATAGGCTCAAGTGGTGCAGGCATAGGTTCTACCTCCCACTACGGAGGAGCATGTGAAATGGGAGTCATTTCAGTCGTATTTGGGTAAGAGACGCTTCCCCAGAGAGATGATTAGGGCAAGGGATGTGAGCTCAAGATATCTGACTGCTAAGAAGGAGGAAACCAACCCAGAGGAAGAGTTTTGCACACAGGGCAGCCAGAAAGGACTGGAACTAGCCTACGGGTACCCCTCAGAGTTCAGCAAGACTGTTATAGCTGATGTTACAAATGAAGGAGCTTCCTCAGATGAGTAGAATTTCTATTACTAACCATCAGTCTGTTTGTTCCTGTGGAATTTGGGGTAACATGAAGCATACTAGAACTCATTTCTCATCTTAACAATCCGTATACAACCAGGAGGCAATGTGGGATAAGCAGTAGTACAGGGTTCTTGTTTTTTAACTTATTTATTCTTTGAGAGTTGCATCTATGTAAATAATATATTTTGATAATATTACTCCTCTGTACTTCCCAGGAGTATCAAGATTCTGATTAGGGTTGCTAGACCATAAAGCCTACTTTTCTTCGTTAATTATTTGAATGATGGCCCAACAGGAAATGGTATTCAAGAGAAAATAGAAAGTAGAAAAATTATGTGTGTACTAGCATGTTGACTTAATAGTGTTAGGTTGTTTTAAACTAGTAGTTAAATTAACATTCAAATGTATAGATAACACATTTCTAAATATTGTCTTGCCAAATATGTAATTTTCTCTGTTATAGAGGGTAAAGTTTAAAATTCAGTTTTGGTTTTTTTGTGGCAGAATTAAGTACAATTTTAGAAAGAATGTTTTTGTTTATTCAGTCATACTTTCTGGACTAGTTTTGTTTCTGTGAATGTCATGTCAAACAAATTGTTTCTCTGCCATTCAGTTGCCCTTGCTATACGTTTGTAATGGATGATGGCATTCATATTAAGAATACCAAAATTAGTGATGTCGCAGTTAGGAGAAATTATTCCAAAGAAGATAAACACATCTCATTTCTGAAGCAGATGATCTCCTAAGAAACAAAGATACTGTTTTCTGTACGAACATCAACTCAAAGACAAAAACCAAAAACTGAATGCAAAGAGTTTCATCATTTCTAAGGGTTCACAGTACTCAAGAACTTACCAGTTTCTGTTTAAGACAAATAAGCAGTGATCTTTACATACTTAACATTTTAATTGCATTTAATTATTTTATGTATAGATGCTTATATATGTGCTGTGTGTGCATGGGCTGCCATGTACATGTGGCAGTCTGAACAGCCTTCAGGTACACGTTTTCTCTTTATATCTTGTGGTTACTGGAACTCAAACTCAGGTTGTCAAACTTTCAGGAAGAACTTTTACCTCCTAAAACATCCCACTGGCAGGCCCCTGCATGTGTTTTTTTTTAAAGTATTAACAGAGGTCTGATGTTTAAAAAGCAGATTTATACACACCTATAATTATTACATAGTGTTTCATTAATTGAAAATTTGACACATTTATAGAAAAAAAGTGATCATTATGCAGCCCAATTGGCAGCTTAGGCTTCATGTGGGTTCCCTAGTAAGGGGAGCAGGAGGAGGTGCTGTGTCTGACATGGACTCTGTTGCCTGCTTTATTATTATTATTATTATTATTATTATTATTATTATTATT